ATTTATTCTTACAAAAAGTATTATTATTAAATTTGATTTTAATGTCAATATGGCAGTAGTAACTATTTTTATTTTAATAGAAACTGCGGTACTGGCTGGTTTATGATTTCATTCTAATATAACACAGCATGTGAATTTGTTAATAAAACTTTTACACTAACGAACTAATGAAACTCCAAGTTAGAAGATAAAAGTCAAATATGACTTTGGGTCAGTTGGCTAATGAACACTAACTCTGAGCTTCAAATTTGGCAGGGCACGAGTGGAACACTTGGTAATTATTCGTAAATATTATCTTATTTACGAATAATTAAATACCAAGACCAAGACCATTGATTGATGGATATTTGGCAATACTCGAAACAGCTGCATGATCAGCCAAAAATTCAATTAATTAAAATAATAAAAAAACAGAATTTTTGTTGTTGTTGTTCACTATTTTTTAAAACCTCTCTTATTCTTAAATTAATATTAAACCAATGATTTAAATGGCAGTTAATGACGATCAAATTATAATTACAGAACTTTTTGAATCTGTTAGTGTCACACTTTTTAGCATGACTTTTGACAGTCGGTGTTTATAGAAATCTCAATGCAAATATAAAGAAGATCACTGTTTTTTAACTCAGAGGGTTTCATAGAAGCACATAGATAAGCATGATGATGTTTAGGCGATGTTGGTATTATTGGTCTGAACAGTCGCGTTATCAATGTGGCATTTTCCAATTTAGAAAAATAATAATTTTGTTAAGCTTCTTGAGACCAACGTAACTGTTGAGATTTATAGCTCCTAAGGAAATCAGCATAAACACTAAAATGACATCAACCCAAAAATTTAACGAAGATTCATTTTTCTATAAGCAAAAAGACGCCCCACATGTGTCTTATCAAGATTGTCGTAATGTACGTAAGCGACATTAATGGAAGGCCGAAGCGATTAACGATATGAAGGCACTCAATACTACCAACTGGCGATAGTAAGTTATTGATCTTAGCGAAGTCTATTGGATCTGGCCAAGCACAACTTACTACTCGAATGGCCAACTAATTAAAGAAAGAAGCTAAGTATCAAAACCGAAACACTGCTAAGAATAATGACAATAAGTTATGCCACTTCATTTATTATGGCTTTGTAGCCAGGTAATATTAGGTCAATTTACGTCTCTAATAACAAACTAAGTGAAGCATAAAAAACAAAGATCAGATCTTTAAGCAAATTATGCCACCTAATATATTATAAGGATGTGCAGATTTTTGTCAAGTACTCAAATCCACATTGCATAAATTGAAATTAACAGAAAAGATTGCTTTTAAGTGGCCAAAGATATTGAATAGAATGTCTGTGTGAGTCCAAATAAAATTTCCATAATAGATAGACCGCTAAAATGATTAAGCAGAATAGAGTTTTTAAATAACAAATAGATTTAATATAAACAAAAGATATCTAAAGACCGGTTACAAGATCAATAGATTTGGTAGATATACGGTTATTTGCCACATAATAGGGATGCACTAATCTTTGTTAGAAAGAAAATTCACTTATAAATAAATCTGTGAAGGGCTAGTATATAATTATAGTACTCTCTTCCTTATTATGACTAAGTAAGTACATTCTGGAGGCAAAAGAATAATTAATGCAATGGTGCTTGAAAATATGAAGAGCTTCTGTGAAAGCAAAGATCAGTCACAAATATCATGATTATTTATTAGGAGATGTGAAGAAACCGAGTTTTGACCAAATTATGTTCTAAAATTAAACTGTAGCTAGTGACGAGGAGGAAGATATTGTTGAGGATAATGTGTACTACATATTAATTTTACCTGATTCAATTTAAACCTGTTTAATTTGAAAAAGAGGTAATATTGTGTTTTTCGAAACAAGTATTGGTCGCAACACAATTTGCGCGATATCTTTTTTCTATACTATAGTCTTAAAAGTATTTGGAATTTTTTTTAGTTGAATTAATGAATGGACTTCTATTTCTGTGTTTGTATATTCGTTTCAGACTTTATTGGAAATGCAAATTTCCTTTAAGAAAATACGAGTGTGCATTAAAAAATTTTTTGCTGCATTTATATGGTATTATATTATTAAATTAATTTTTGCATTATATTTAGAAATCTGAAAACAACAAAATTTAACTGAAGTATATAAAATAATAATCTGTGAATTTAAAATTTTAAATTAAAAAAGTATTTTTTTTTTATTTTATTTTTTGATATGAGCAAATTGGTCAATTGTTTAAATAGTACACTTAATAAATAATATTTAATAATTAAAATTTGTTATTTTTTTATAGAGATGTTTTGTTGTTGTAGTTCATTATTTTTCGACACTTCTCTACCAATTGTAATCGTGTCTATTGAGTAAGATAGTCACTTCTGTCATTACTGACGTATAATTTTTAAAAATAATTTAATAAGTGTATTATTTGAACAATGGACGAATTAGTCCGCTTTAAAAACCAATTAATAAATAAATATTTTTTGAAATTCAAAACTCTAAATTAAAAAATTATTGTTACACATAAAAATAATAAATGAAATATTATGGTCATTAAAACAATAAATTATAAAAAAAATATTTATTTATTTCTATTAATTATTTAAAATATTTAAAAGATGATTTATATATGAAAAAGTCACATATATAAAATATGAAATTTATATGAAATTTTATTTCCTATGAAACATATGCTGTTTATATCTGAACAGCATTAAGTGTATGTATATATGTATGTTACAATTATAACATAATCCAAGTATGCATAAATAACTAACCAGTAATACTGGTAGTTGTGTGTGCTTTTTATAATATTCTTTAAACTTGTATAATTAGTAAGTAATTATTTAAATATAAATGACATATGACAAATACTTTATATTTTCATACCACTCTGATGAGTCTGGGTAGTTCCCAGACGAAACAAGTCAGTGGAAACTGACAGATGACAGAGACTTTTGCTTCTGTAAAGGAGCCAATAGATTTAATTCCAATTCACACAGACGTTTTTGAAGACAGATATATGTAATAATAAAATTTGTTTTTTTTTTAAATTTAATTTTAATTTAATTTTAATTTCTTATTTTAATATAATTTGTTTCTATAAAGTTAACATTCTAACATTACATAAAGTTAAACATTCTATACTACATACCAACTGATAGTTAATACTAATCTCATGAGAGAATTTACATATATTTTTAAGTGTTTTCAATTTAAATCTTAGGTGTAGAGTAGGTGTATTTGTAAGTACCAGAATTTGGAATTATATGGGGTCTTCAATCCATCGATAGATAGCGTGCTGTTAGATTATATATATATGGACAGCGAAAAAAGACTATTTTCCGGAGGTCGATAGACTCTCCGTAGTTAACAAACCTTTTTCAGATATAAAACTGTTGGATGTTTGAGTGTCTATAAGAAACATTTCACTTTTTTATTTATTTTTATTAAATATTTAAATATGTATTATAATATTGTAATGAACTTTTTTTCTTGTTTCGTTTAGAGCTGCGATAAACACAGCTTTTTTCAAGGTTCTCATAAGAAAAAAATGCTAGCAAAAAAAATGCGGTGCTAGTATTTTTATTTGATCTAGAAAACAAAATATTCAAACGATAAGTGAAAGGTATGTAGGTATAATATTCTTTCATAAAATTATATTAGCAAACCATTATTTTTCAATTTTTTTCAGAAAATTTCAAGTATAAAAATTCTGTTGCTGCGGGAGTGGTTTTCGGTGAGTTGGGTAACTTAATGTTCTTAATATTACTTAACAACTTTTATTCAGGTGTCTTCATAGTCAGCGATTAATTTATTCAAGTGATTGATTCTTGTGTACCCCGTATCTCCCCGTGCTCTGTTAGTTGTTAGGAAATCGTGTTGTGTTTTAATCGTTACAATATGTTATTATAAATATGAAATGAAAAATAAATCTTTTAAGATTTGAATGAGCATCTCAAGTCACATTTAGTTTCATTGAGTACATTTATTAAAAAATTGTTTTCAGAAAATTTACGCAAACTGAGAATAGTAAATTATTTGTTTATTTTCTTAGCACCTGTCAAGGGATTTGACCACACAAAAATAATTAGAACAACAAAAATAATTTGGCACTACCGAAAATCATGACAAACTATAATCTTTATCTTTTGTAAATCGTACGTGTGTTTACTTACCTAGTCGCTCGCATAGATTTTAAGTTGAATTTTAATATCCGGATTATCCGGCTATAAGCTGAACCACAAAAGAAAGATTTCAAAAAGTAAACAATACAGCATTTACAATTTTTGCGATTAAAACGACTGCAATTTAAATAAAACGCAAAGTTTCGCGCGTTAATAATGAATTATTTAAGAGCGAACCGCAGAGAGTAGTCAGAGTATCCAGTAAGTCTGCAGTCTGCAATAAAAATCATAAGAACTCATCAGAAGGCAAAGCAACAACACATTCCTTGCCATGCATAGATACACATTCTATTCTACCTGTGTGTACGCGCTATACATTTGGCTTGAATTCCAACGAACATGTTGGTAAATAAACCATTGGCATTAAGAGAGCGCGACTATAATAATGGTTAGCTTGCAACATTTGAACATTTGAACATTCGAACAGTTGAACATGTTGGATGTTGCAACAGTGGCAAGGTGAGGAAATGCCGCGTTTTACTTTTATCCCCGACCGCTATATTGAGTTTGCGTATTGTTGGTGCAATATTCTTATTACAACAGTGCGAGTGCCAACAAGTTGTTGTTTGTTGTTTAATGTTCTGCTCGTGGAGATGCTCTTCGGCGAGCATTCGCGCAGAGTGGCAACAGGACTTTCTGCTCTCTCTCGGATTGCGTGTTGTGCTCTTCGCCGTTTCGCAAAAAGTGGTAAATAGTGCAGCAACAGAAGCACAGATGCTTTGCATATTTTGGCTTCGCAGTTGCCTTCTTCGCGTAATTAAAGTCATATCCTTTTGTTAATCCGAGGAGTGAACAACGCAAGGATTAGTAGTCACGCATCGTTTCGTTGGCCGCCAAAATATATCGCGCGTTAAAAATTAATATTTTTTAAAAATCTCATAGACCGTGGATTATTTCTTATGTGCTAACATTTCAATTAACAGCGTAGACGACGTGTCAATTTTTATAAAAAAATTTTATAAAAAATATTCGAAATTATTTAGCATTCCTAGGATACGATACCATTCACACGGTTTTTATATATTGGATTTTGAATTTTACTGAATTGTAAAGCTTCTTACGCTAAAATTAGGTATATATATTTCGCATAGAATTTAACAACTGCATACTTTTTTATCTGCAATGGACTGTAAACTTTTTTCTTTCTGCTCTTAAAAAATAGACTACATTGAAAATGGATATATCGGCCTATCAGCACATGAACATACGTATGAGCACACGCGGCAAACGTCCTTTACGCAATTTGACACCCAGCGATAAAGTACGCGCCATACAACGTATACATAATGGAGAAACGAAGGCTTCAGTTTCACGCGATATTGGTGTACCGGAATCTACGTTACGTGGCTGGTGTAAAAATGAACAAAAATTACGTTTTATGTGTCGTCAAATGAGTGTAGATCAAATGTCACTGCCTGGTTTGGAGAATCCTCCAGAAAAACGTACGAAGCTAGAGAATCATCATGCATCAGCGAAATTTCAAAGCATTTCAAGCTTTGATGATTTTGCCTATAATCGTTTACCACTTAGTGGCATGGATTTTGCTGTCAATGCTATAAACAACAATAACCAGAATTCCAATGGTAGCAATATTAGTAGCTGCAATGCATTCCTAGAAAAAATCGCTTTGAATGATTTTATTAAAAAAACCACTTCCCAGGCGGAGTCTAACAAACAATTTGGTATAAGTTCACATCTTCAGAATATCGGTTCATTACCTATTTCTGGAGATTTTTCGCAACTTGCTATGGTGCAAAATATAAATTTAATGTCCTTACTAAATCCAAATTTGGTAAATGTTCCGAGCGCTGGTAGCTCAATGGAAAGTACAAAAGTAAAAATACCCTTACGCTCATCTAATTCGACTGAAGATACAAGGGAGAGTACCAAAAGTACACCAACGACTCCATTGAGTGTGAAAAATTGGGCTAAAGATCCTTCCGAAAACTTATCTCCGATTAAGAATAGCACAAGCAGTATCAATAGCAGCAATAATAAACGGATTAATGTTAACAACAACAACAACAACAATGATACAAATAACAACGACGTCAAGCCAAAATCATTACAATCACAATTGCAATTGGCTGAAATTGGCACATTTCCATTCCTACAAACTGGCATGCCATCGATATTGAATCCCAACGCAGACCCAGATAGCGCCAATTCAGCTCTATTGGAATGGTGCAAAGTTTTTAATGCGAGTTTAAATTTTTTGGCACTAACTGCTGCTGCTGCAGCTCTTCAGTCTCCTACTGTAAATTTATCTAACACAAATGACGAAAATGAAAGCAATACTATACAGGCACGTCCTACCGAGAATATTTTGTATAGTCAACTAACTAAAATGCCTCATAGCTTTCATATGAATTCAAACAGCTTGATGCATAGCGACATGTCCAACGATAGTTACTATGACAGCGAACCAGAGGATTTGTCATTTCGTTCTAATACATCGAAAATATCTAGCCCAGCTCACAGCCGTTCACAAAGTCCAGCTAAGAGCATCTCTTCTGCAGTGCAGAGTGACTCTGAACCATAAAGGATTAAACGTATTCGAATCTGATCGCTTGTAGATAAAAACAACTTAGTCTTAACTTTTAGTATTTAAATATGAAAAATTCCTGAATAAAGTCTTTAGAATAATTTGATAGAATATTTTAAATAAACTATGTCACTGTACAATGTACATTAGGGTCTTTTTATCTCTATGAATAAGTAGTTTCAATTATCTACATATCATCTTATATTAAATTTTAACTTAACTTGTAAAAATTGAATATGTTTTTAATAAATTAATAAATTATTTAATTGTTTTCCAAAAATTAAATTATTATCGTTTCTATTTCTTATAAGAGAATAACAATGGGATATAAGAATTGTATGGTATTCTTAGTGGGACCTATGTAACGAGCTAATATAACACTGAGCAGATATTAAATTGTGAATATTTTACAGAAGTCGAAATACATTGAACTAATTTGTTTCTCTACTGCTGTTATCCGGAAATGAAAGATGTGCCTTTATTCTGGTTTTATTATCGAACCGAAGAAATCTGGAAACTTATAACAAAGGAAATATTAATGGTTTGAATAGTCAAGTTAAAATCGGAGTGAAGTAGTTATGCGTTCACTAGTTTAACAGTATTAGATATGTTCTTACAGACTTGACTTCGGAGAGGAGAATTATTATAACTGATTATGAAAATATATGGGGCTGTTTGTGCGGGAGCAATAATCTGTTTTTAAATTTTCTTCTAAATAATAAACTATAAACAATAAAATAATAAGCAATAATATTATTATTAATAATATTTTTATTTTAAAATTGTTACTCACCAAATATATAAAACTCTAATACATAGATTATTAACAGATTCTAAAAAGAGTTCAGATCCTTAAAATTCACTAATCATAACACAAGGTCCATTTACCTTTATTCCCTGTTTTGAAGAATAATATCTTGAAGGACGTGCATAACTTTGATTTGGAAATATAATATATCATATTGAATTCCATGCTGTTAAACTCTGAAACTACAAAGAATTTCCTTTGAAATTTTTTTCAACTATATATTATATTATGCCTTTGTATTGTATAAAAAGCCTTTGACCTTTTTCAAAAAGCTTGACTAATTTATATGTTACGTTAAACGCTTTTACTTTGACTGATTCTTTTGAAAGTAGTCCATTTGATGTCCATTGTACAATATATAATAGACTTCGTTTGAATTTCAAAATCCTGATTTAAATACTTAATTTTCACACAATAAAAATATTTTAAAAATTTCTATTGTTTTTATTAGAACACTGAAGCCAATAACTACTTAGTACCAGAAAAGGGTTGAAAAAAATGTAATAAATTAAAGGCAACTCGCTTCGCGTTTTGCTGTTGTATAGCAAATATTGTAGTATTCTAGTCTATTACATATCCATGTATTTAGATCTTGAATCCCAATAATACATTTTTAATAAGAACTTTGAACATATTCGGAACCAAAACTTTTCACATACCTTTCTTATGCGATTAAATTCGAATCTGTAATATGAATTTGTCGATACAGCAAGGCGTACAACGTGATAAACAGATAGGTTTTCGAATATCGCTGGATGGATTGGATTGGCTATGATGATCAAGACATATACGGTATATAAAAATGTCCTAATGTATTTAAAATAATAATATAAACTTAATATTAATATTGTATAGTATTATTAGTCAGTTAAACTTACGTCAATTGAATGTACATTGTGACCGAAAAGTTTCCGGAAATTTTAAATAAAACGCAAAATTCTTAATCTTCATCAATATTTATTTATCTCCTTCAAAATATGCTCCATTAGAAGCGATACACAAATGCCAACGTTTCTTCCAATCATCAAAACATTTTTTATAGGCGCTTTCCGGTATGGCTTTGAGTTTCCTCTGCGAATTCTGTTTTACGTCTTCTATGGATTCAAAACGCGTTCCTCTGAGTGGTAATTTGAGTTTGGGAAACAGGAAAAAGTCACACGGTGCAAGATCAGGTGAATACGGGGGCTGTTCGATGGTATTTATTGAATGTTTGGCCTTAAAATCGTTGATAATGTTGGCTCGGTGCGAGGGAGCATTATCGTCATGAAAAATCCATGAATTATCCTTCCACAATTGAGGCCGTTTACGGCGGATATTTTCACGCAAACGTCTTAAAACAGTCAAATAATAGGCTTTATTGACTGTTTGTCCTTCAGGGACGAATTCATGATGCACCACACCACGAATATCGAAGAAAACAATCAGCATTGCCTTGATTTTCGAGCGACTTTGGCGTGGTTTTTTCGGTTTCGGCTCGTCTTTTCCTCTCCATTCCGATGATTGTTGGCTTGTTTGCATGTCGTACTCGTAGACCCATGTCTCGTCACCCGTTATGATGCGTTCCATGAAAGTTGGATCGGAATTGGCACGATCAAGCATGTCTAACGAGACCTGTCCACGATGGTGTTTTTGGAACAAATTGAGGTGAATCGGAAAAAGCCGAGCGTTGACACGTCGCATACACAAATTGTCCACCAAAATCAAACGAGCCATCTCACGACCGATGCCTAGCTCTCGTGCTATCTCTCTAACACTCACATGAGGATTTTTGAACACGATTTCCTTTGCCTTTTCAATGTTTTCGTCGGTGGTAGAGGTCGAAGGTCGTCCAGAACGCGGCATGTCTTCGACGGTCGTACGACAGTCCTGAAAGGCTTTGTACCACTCATAAACTTGAGTTTTCGATAAAACTGATTCCCCATAAGCCTTTTGTAGCATTCGCAACGATTCTGCACACGAAAATTCGTTCGAAACACAAAATTTGATGCAAACTCTTTGATCAATATTTTTTTCCATTGTTTTTTCAGACGCACTACTGAGTTGAACTGGTTCAACAGTGCCGTAAACGACTGTCTGACAGATCGCGCTCATTTTTGGCATAGTAATTAAGGACAGTGTTGCCAAACTACATAAACTTAAAATATCGAAAAATATACAGCGCGCGAATTTTAAATGAGAATTTCCGAAAACTTTTCGGTCACAATGTATACCTACTATGCACACTTAACACACGCTCGAGGATAGCATGCGATGTAGTCCTTATTTCGATCAATGTATCAATCAAATTAATGGAGACTAATACAAAATAATACGAATACAGTTTATATGAAGAGTATCTTTACATATATGAGCCACTTCTAGTGCAGAAGAAGTTATTGGAGAGGTTACAATTGGTACAAAAAATGAAAATGAAGAGCGCCTAAATCAATAATTTATTATTGAATTATACTATTATTCATTACAACTATCCTGGATAAATCTTTTCAGAGAAAACACGTTATTTCAACATACTCAAATTTGATTAGATTATGTGATGAAAAATCAAAAATACTATTTTTGTTTTAGAAACTCTGGAGAAATTGCTGTCTATGCGTCTAAGTTTAACATAGTCCAGGGTTATTGACGGGGCTATTAGATTAGCCCCTATTTGTGATTTCCACTCATCTTAAAACTGTAATTATTTATATATTACGAACAATACCTACGAAAACCCATTTAATAAATTAAATATGCAGACTTTCGCAATGCATCTGTAAGGGCATTCAAATCTTTTGAGACCCTTAATTTAGCATAACAGAATAGGCTTACCTTTGCACTTTTTGTAGTAGTCACCTGATTGCACTAGATAGGAATGAATGGATACCATGAATCAGTAAGCTAAGGCTCAAATTATATCATACGAAAAATTAATATCAATATAAAATATAAATAATTCATGAATATATTATATATAACGGAAAACTACATGATTTTTACATAGCAAAATCCGTTTGCAAAATATTTTGCTTAGTTTTATATATCACTTTATCTACATTTAATGTATTATCGAAGGTTAGTGCTTTATCGAATTACCTAACTTCCTTACCTATTAGTTGCGTCAATTCAGGGTTAAATTTCAGATATACACCAACATAAAACAAAGATATGGATAAATAAGATTCTAATTGATGAGAAATGTCCTGCCAAGATCTTGGAAAGTAGTGGTGAATGAAAAAAAATTATATCATTGTTGTAAATATATATAACTCATTTCAACAGCTCTTTATGAAAAAAAAAATGATCTTATCGGCTTCTTATGTCTATAATCTAATTTCTAATTCTAATACATCATCATCTAAAAAACTACTCTCACCGTTCCCGTTCCAATTTTTTTGTATAATATGGTATTATTTTTGTATAATGTTGCCTTAATTATTGCGTGGGGTTTTTTTTATTTCCCGCTAAAATTTTTTTCAAGTACGTATTTCCTAAAATAATTTAAGTTCTGTAGACTGATTTTAGGATACAAAATTCTGATAAAATAGAAAAAGAATTCAAAGAAAGACGTCTACTGCAAAAAAGTTTATTTATTTTTTCATATTAAGTTTACAAAAAAAAAATATTCAAAAAAAAAATTGTATCTCTTAAAATAATATAAATATAATTAACCTTTTAAAATAAAAACTTTAAGCCTTGGTTGCTAAAGACCCTAAATGAAAAGATGATTGCGGCTCCAGATTAAAAACCAAAAGAAAAGGAGAATAATAGACTACATTTTATAATTGTTGCTGTTGCCATGATTAGACTCATAGTTACTATTAAAAGTAGGTGGATCTGAATCAATCACTTGTGTTATATTATTATTATATCAATAGAGAAAATAGGTAATTTGAAATAGCCTCTACAATATCAAGGTGGCAACTCTCAAAAAAACCATCCGGTACCGCAGTTAGGCATTTTGTGCCTCGTCACGTTGGTCAAAACAGTGTTGTGCAGTAATAAATATTAGAATTTGAGCCTTTTAGTAGTAAATTATTACAATTTTAATACATATATTTTGGAGAAAAAATGCCAAAAAAGCAACACAACCAACTTTGTATACTCTTAATAATCGAATTCCTACATTTTCCGGAGTTTAAGGAAACGCGTGTAATTTTGTAAGAATTGTTGATAATTATTATAAGGAAATATAATAATGAGGTTTTTTGCTAATGTTCATTTTTGGTGGCAAATTGTAAGTCAGCATATCTACATTTTCTAGAAGAATTATATATGGCGTTTTCGATTGGTAAATCTGGATTCAATCTAGATTTACTCTCGATCTGTCAAATTTTGTTGCCCAATTAAACATTTTTAGGG